ATGAGAGTGGTGAGAGAAGATTCCTGTTCCCCTGGGCGGTCCACACCCTGCAGTCCCTCTGTGTCCTCTACGTTCCTGGGGTCTGTCTGAGAAGTTTATCACCCATTCTTGGTCTGAGGGCTGATGTTAATCCCCACAAGTGTTTAGGTCCTGGAGGGCAGGGCCATCCGTTCAGGAAACCTTTTCTGAACTTGCCTCTGTGTTGGCTCGGGCCCAGGGGACACAGAAGGGTCTCTGGGTAAGACCTCCTTCCAGGAGCTCCCGGTCTGGTGGTGGATCAGGCAGACATCCCAGTGTTGTGGCCCCGGGCAGCCCAGGGCTGATGGCAGCTGGAGGAGGGAAATCAGGGCAGTCTCCCCAGAGGAGGTGATGCAGGTAAGCATTGAAAAAGGAGTTTGGCAGGGGGGTCAGGGTAGGTGAGACATTTCAAGTAGAAGAGGTGGGAGACAGCCAGGATGGGGAGGGTCAGGAAGCAGTGGTGCCTAATGGTTAAGATTGCTGCTCCAGAGAGGAGCAGGGCAAACCTGGGCTCAAGTCTCAGCTCTGGCACTTGACAGCTGTGGCATCTTGAGTCTCAGTTTCTCTAAAGTGAGGATGATAATAATAGAAGCCTCTTCAAAGAATGTTAGAATTATATACGGCCATGTACATCAAGTATTCAGTGCAGGGCCCACCCGGAAGTGCTCAATAACCGTCAGCTCTGAATAGGAAGTGGGAGGTGGCCAGAGAGAGATGAGGATGGAGGGCCACAGGGACCCGGACTTGCAGGGCCTCTGAGCTGCTAAACAACAGGGGCACAGAAAGCAGACTGTGGATCCTGGATCCTGGGGGACTGTGCCAGCACAGGGGACTGACAGGGGGAGGCAGCTGGTGGGCCAGGGATGCTGGCTTCATCTCCTCCCACCCGGCCTGCGAGCCCGGCTCTTGCTGGGCCGGGTCCTCGTGGATTGAGTGAGCCAGGTGACCTGACACCGCAGTCTGTCTGTGACAGGGGCTGTGCAAGGGCATCCTCTCGCCCCGGAACTTGCCGGATGCTCCGATGACCTAGTTGGCAGCTGTGTCCACGTTCGGCTGAAAACAGGAATTTCTGCCTTGCTGGGGGTCCTGGTCAGGTGAGCAAACTCCTGTTTGCCGGGAAAAGGGGTTAGGGGCCTGGTGGGCTCCCAGCTGAGTCAGAGGTTCCCAGAGTCCTGGGTTGAGCTCAGCCCATGCTACTGCCCTCCTGCAGGCCTACACGCAGCACCTACTGTGTGCCAGGGCATTGAGTCATATACCCTCTCACTCCCTAGCCCCATCCATGAAATAGGCATTTCAGTTTTTCCTTTGGAGAGTAGGAGCTGGGAGCAGGAACTGGGAGGTGAGAGGTCACAGCCAGGGAAGAAGCTGGGCTGGAGAAATCTCTAGGACACTTGCGGATAGGGGAGGCGGAGCTGGAGCCTGTGGGAGAGGAGGTGGAGAAGAGAAGGTTGGCACCTGCAAAGGGGGTGATGTCTGGGTGTCAGGCAGCTGAGAACGGGAGGCGGGGCCACATGAAGACAAGCACAAGGGGCTGCAAAGTGGGAGACCAGGGGGACCACTCCCTGCCCTCTAGACTCTGCCTCAGCCTGTCGCCTGACTCCCAGGACAGGTGGCTCTTGTCCCCTCCCCCAGAGCCCACAGCCCACACCCTCACCCCCTTCTAGGAACCACGCACGCTCTTCTTCTGGCCCCTCTTGGTCCTTCCAAGTTCAACCTTGAACTGCAGCCTGGCCGCTCACTCTCAATCCTCCAGCCCCTGGGAGACCTTTAACTCTCTAGCTGGGGAGGCCTCTGGGTGTCAGGGTATCGGGGCTGGACGCTCAGGAGGGGCTGGGGCTCGAGACAGAGATGTGGGCATTGTCAGAGCGATGGGGTGGCTTGGTCAGTGAGGGTGATGGAATTCCTGAGAGAAGCGTCCTGCTGATCGCCATTCTGATGATGATGAGCGTGGAGCGGATCCTGAGAGGAAGGCACCTAGGGTCCTCGATGTCGGGCGAGTGTGCCGAGGGGGAGGTGTGGGTGATGGGGGGATAGAGGTGAGGGGCCCCGCATCTTGGGGACCTCAGCTGCGTCGAGGAGGGGGACAGCTGGAGGCGGCCTGGGATGGGTTAGGATGGAGGGGAGGGAGAGGAAGCTACTTTCCCTAGAAGTTTACCCATGAAGCAGGGAAAGGAAAGGGGAAAGTGGCTTAAGGGTCTCCTTACTGTTCGTAAGAGGGGCAAGACTGGAGCACAGCTGAAGTCCGAGAGCAAGAAGCAAACAGAGAGGAAAGGCTGAAGGAGAGGAAAGAGAGAAAATGGAGCTGCAGAGGGGGGAAAGGCGCTCAGCGGCTCCTGCTGGAAGTCACTTTTCTCAGTGGTGGGTGGGGAGTGGGGTTGGCTGAGTGTGAGGGGACAGAGGTGTGGCAGGGACACGATGGGGGCTGAGGCACCCAGGTCCAGGATGGTGATGACCCAGAGCCTCAGTCTCCCACCCAGCGGGCCTCAGCCTGTCTCCCCAGGGGTTTGCCATGAGGCTTCAACGGCTGGAAGGGAACTAGAGGAGGGCAGGGTTCAAGTGGACGCAACGATTACCCGCAGCAAGGAGGAGGCCAGCAGGCTGCACTGTTTCTCCAAAATCATTTTTTAATACATTCACGTGGGTTACACAAAGAGCTGGCCCCGAGGCCTGGGTTGTAGCCTGGGTCCTGGGGGGTGAGAGCAGCATTGTGTAGTGTTCTCAAAGATCAGGCATGGAGGGGCCCACATCTTGCCCTCCAGGCCTGAGGAAGAGTGTTTGTGTGCAGTGAGCACCTGTGGTCATGATCCCAAACAGAACTGGACCCATCGGCTGCCCCACTAGCCACCAGGGCCCCGGGCTGGGGCCAAGCCACCAGGCTCTAGCCCCGGCTCTGCCATTGACTCCCTGAGTCCTCGGCCCGCTCTGGGCCTCAGTTTTCTCATCTGTAAAATGGGGTGGAGAGAGGGGCATTTTCATCATCTCACACTTTACCGAGCACCATCGTGAGCCCGAGTGCGGGCCAAGCACAGGTAAGAGGGTGAAGACAATGACACAGGGTCCCAGGGTTAATCCCAGGCCTTCCTTTCTTCCCAGACGGCCCACGATTTCATGGGTATGAGAAACAGGGGGTTATATCTGGATGGGAATTTTTTTTTTTTCTTTTTTTTTTGCGGTACGCGGGCCTCTCACCGCTGTGGCCTCTCCCGTTGCGGAGCACAGGCTCCGGACGCGCAGGCTCAGCGGCCATGGCTCACGGGGCCCAGCTGCTCCGCGGCATGTGGGATCCTCCCGGACCGGGGCACGAAACCGCGTCCCCCGCATCGGCAGGCTGACTCTCAACCACTGAGCCACCAGGGAAGCCCCTGGATGGGATTTTTCTATCCATTTTTCTAGGGGGAAAAAAAAGTCCCTGTGTGATGAGGACTAGTAAGAGAGTTTGGAGGCAGCATCACCTTGTGATGTGACAGCTGAGAGAGAAGGAAACCATTCAGGTCCAACCACCAAGCCCCCCCCCCGCACACCCCCTCAATGAGGTCTGAATCCACCTTGTTTCACAGGCTCTGCCACTGACCTGTGCAGCTCTGAGCAAGTTCCATTCTCTTCCTCAGTCTTAGCCTCCCTATCTGTGCAACAGGGAGGTTGGACCCAATGGTTTCAAAGTCCAGGCTATGCTCAAAGGAGGGAGAGGGAAGGAGGCACGAGCAAGAAGAGGAAAAGGAGAGCCCGCCTCGTCTGCAAATGAGGGAAGGAGGGAAAATGAGGCACGGAAGGAGGAGAGGGCCTGTGGCTGCCCATCTTCTCTCTGCCCGCCGGGGAGGGAGGAGGGAGAGGGGCGGGTGGGCGTGCGCGGCACAGGACGCTCCCGGGCCTTGTTCCTGTCCACCTAACAGCCTGCAGCCCCTGCAGTGGCCAAGCTCAGGCTCTGGACTCAGGAGGATGTGAGTCTGGAACTCAGTTCAGGCATTTCTTAGCTGGAGGTCCCTGGAGGGAGACTTTTGGAGCCTCTTGTAAAATGGGATAAAATACCAACCTCAGAGGGTTGTCATAAAGAGGCAGATGCAGGCTTGGGTTTGTCACCACTGCCAAGTGTGGTGCAAAACAGAACCAGATACCTAAGGTTCTTACTCCTGGCTCACCAGCCAGGGTGAGACTGGGATGGAGCAGGGGGCCTGGGCAGGGAGTAGGGGGGCTAGGGCAGTATCTTGGCCGGTGTGTGCAACACGAGAGTGCCAGGTAGGG